GTTTAGTTGACGATGAGGACTTGATCTCAGAAATTAGTATGAAATTAAAGGTAACACAAGTATTATAATTGTATCTGCCGTAATTTCATCAGCCATGATTCATCGAAAAAACTAACACATTGTAGATTGTAAATCCAAATCTTTGATCACGTCTCTTAAGTTAGTTTGCGTACACATATGTGCATTTTTTACCTGGAAGGAATTCTTTCAGAAATTAACGGCATCAGTTAGTGTTACTTAGATATACCATAACACGCTCATCATGTTTCTACCGATTGATGTGAGACAGAAGCAGTAAAATTATAGCTAAACTGTTTCCTCAGATATGCTTGATGTTGTCGAAAATAAGGATATTTCATTTAACATCACTAGTGAATAGTGATACACGGTATGTGAAGTCCACAAAGTTCTTCAGAAGGACTAGTATAACAGGCAGAACCATATAGGCATGTGTGCTGATTACTGTTACCGATAAACTGGCGCCTTTCCTATTTCTGTGTTGTAATGTATCATATGGAGGATAAATAACAGTATGTGAGATAATATTTTGCATAACAACAGACTAGTGATCTTTATGCAAATCCAATCTTCTGATATATACATTAAAAATACTCTAGGCATGCCTACGAAGTAGATGATTTCAAACAAAAAATGCACGAATGTATTTCTGTCGATTATTAGAAAGCTTCGTTACATTATGTGAAATATTTCTTTCCATATATTATCTATTAACGAACAAGTAGCTTAACATACCTGATCACGTTTCTATACCAGAGAGTTTAGAGAAAAAATAATTATGTTTGTTTCGACAGATATACTACTCTGGTGATCTCGGTAATCTATACGTGAGATACACAGTGTCTAATTTCATTCGAACATGAATCAACTTCTAAGAATAGAGAGGAAGACATTATTATTGATTTCGTATTCATTCTTGAAAGCGATATTTTTCAATTTTTAATATCGCATAGTATCTTATATTGAACATAAACACACTACCCCTCCATAATTTTCCTCATTCCTCGAAAAATCATGGAGAATTTTTTGTAGCATTAGTCTATTATTCATCTACGTAATTAATAATGTATGTGAATAGTAAAAACGTTACCCAGTATTAGGAACACATTACGAAGTAATGCCCTCCAGACATTTCCTAAAACATTTGAGCGTGGTTGAGCGGCAAGACGCTCAGGTACGAGGTAGAGTAAAATGCGATATTAACCTGAAAGGAAAACCAATATAATTTGATGCTGCTTTCCCTCTCTAATACAAATTAATTAGTCAAGAACCTTGGTTACGTGATCAACAGAGCTCGTCTCTATTCCAACAATAGTATGGATATTTCTCGATATTTTTGTTTTCGTTCTCATTTGAGATATAATTTGAATGTTTACATAGAGTATTACCCAAAAACACATCGAACGACTAATAACTGTTCTCAATCATTAGCTCGAGTTGCATATCTTCGATGCAGTATTATCCTTCTCAATGTGATTTTCTTCGATTCAGTAAGAATGATCCAAATAATATCACTAAATAACTAGATATTGTATTTGTTAGTTAAATATCGATAGGGTAATGACAAACGAAAAAATCTTGATATAAAAATTACCCATATGTTATTTAGACATTTCGTATTTTCAGTGGAAATACTATATATATTTTTGGCTCCTATTTGAGAAGACGTGTTCTTTCACTCTTTACGAAGTCTTCGTCACTAGACTTGAATTCATTTATAGGAGAAATAATTATTCCATGCGTGATTTTTTTTTACGTGGAATATGGGTAAATATGTCGAATGCTCTTATTGTGATTCGATTTTGTACGACCAAAGATAGTTGATGATTGGATATCTATTATTATACTAGTTTGGCTAAAGTGTAGGTTACACATAACTTATTGCTACGGTATTTTTACATGAATGAGTGGTTAAATGAATTGACGAGTCTTGGTTTTATATTTACGAAATGTTATTCCACAAAGTTATGCAATGTTCAGTTCGGATAGAACCAAAGGAAGAATATTACTTGCTATCCTGTAGCATTTATAGGCGTACTTGAACTGTGTTGCATCTACACTCAAATCTTTCAGCATAAAAAGCGTAGACGTAATATATTTCGAGATCATCTACAATAAACATCAGTAATAGAGTAAGTAAAAGTCCACATATATTATTCGTAAAAGGAAAAAAATTTGCTACTTCATCTCTTTATACTGTCAAAAATACATTTCCTGTGAGATAGGAATAAGTTTGTTTTTGTTAACATTCTTTTAATATATTGCAAGGACGGATAATCGCATACTGTTTATCATCGAAGTCAATAAATATCAGACCTCCTGACGAAGATAATATCCTAGGATCATTCTAGCCGAAGTAAATATTCTATTTCCTTTCAGGTTAACTATCGTTACTATTCATTATAATATTTTTTGTATTTACCGATTATCTTTAAAATATTAGAAATCAGTTCAATACAAGATGATGAATTTTGTACGGCTCTTGTTGAAGAAGAAACTGATATTTTGTTTTCTGATGTTTGTACCAATGAAGAGGAAAAACTATGGGAATGTGGAATCATTCCGTATATTTTCAATGATAATGTATCTGAAGAACTTAAAGACATTATAAAGGAAGCAATGAAAAGGATCGCCAAAGTATCTATCATAAGATTCATAGAGATAACAGACAAAAGTGATTACATCAAAATTATTGATGGAGGGAGATTTGCTTCCTACGTGGGTAGGAAGGAAGGCAAACAGGTTCAGATTTATTAATTTTATATTCTGTCAATATACCATTTGTTGTCTCCCATTTTTATTTCATTTCGCAATTATACAGGAATTATATGTTTCTATGGATAAAAGAAGTGGCCATATCTTATAGGCAGTTCTATGCATGAACTGATGCATGTGCTCGGATTTCATCATGAGCACTGTCGTCCAGATCGGGATCAATTTTTGAAAGTTAGAAGCAATACCAAAAATTATAAGAAACGGCCAGCATCGGATACTGTCTGTTATGGTCCGTATGATCCCAAATCTATTATGCATTACCCTCTAGGTCCAGATATGACTTCAAAACAAAAAATAAATGCTAAAATAGGTTTGCATATGACTCTTTCTATTTATTTATACTACTTCGCATAATAACATTTTCTTACAACTCAGGTCAACGGGATAGTTTAAGTGCTGGTGATATAAATGCGCTCAGTAATCTTTATTCTTACACAACTAAGTTACGTTTAATACTAAACAAGGATACATCCTATAGGCAATGCTACAATAAACAAAATATATACAAAAAGTAAGGAGGTCTTAGAACGCACCTTTGGTGGTCTCACTTGTTCCTAACTAAGGTTGCTTGTCTAAACCTCTTCAAAATCCTACGATTAGTTTCATCAAAATTTTACTATAGATTTATTATAGTTTCGGCAGAGTTTCAGCAGTTTCGGCATTTATAATAAGTTTCGGCAGTTTCGCCTTTCTCCAAAGTTTCGCCAATTTTAATATAACTTTAATATAGTTTCGGCAGAATTTCGCTTTTCGGCGAAACGCCATCTTGCCTAAACACCTAGGTTTCGGCAAGCAACCTTATTCCTAACAGTATATACGAAACGTAAAAAAGTCTCTACAACCTGTTACGCAATATTAGGTATCTGTAGATTCCATTTTTCTACACATCATTGCGAAGTACCACTTAAGAAAACCATAGTTTTTATATAGAATTTATCAAAATGTACCAGGATGTGGCACGACTTTTTTTTTTATATTTTTTACTCAAGATAATTATCTCAGCTTTAATAAAAGGTGCATTATTACAGATATCCAACTATTTTTTGTATTAATTAGATATTTTGTGAGTCCATAATCACATAACTATAAAGACATATGCCATAATAGCGATATATCGTATAAAAAGAGGAAAAACAAAACCAAAACTATGTCATCATTTTTTTCGTTTAATAGGAGAAGCCCTTTGGATATTTAGGCGAAACCAGAGATGTGCTTTATTACTTGCCAATTTGTGAGATGCTATAGCTAATATAATAATAAAAAAATACTAGACACTCTGCACACGAGATTAATAATACACTTCTCAGTGGATCGACTGCGGAGAAGAATACTAGTGGACGACGGATATCCACTGCGGATAAGAATATAAATGGAAACAACAAGACCGTGACCCGTAGGTCACGATTGCCTTACTTCAAGTAATCTAATTGAAACAGATATGGTGATAACGTTGACAAACAGGATTAAATCGAATGTATAATTTTCTATTCAGTCGTAGACTGCCCAAAGGCAGGGTTGGGAATTGTACTAGTACAGTACTAGTACAGTATAGTACAGTACTAAGTACTGTACTTGTACTTGAAAATTTAGTACAAATACAATTTTAGTACATACTATTAATAAATTTTATTGGTTAATTTTATAAATATAAACAATATTAATCACATGATATCTACCTAAAATGGTTAAATTATATCCTAAAAAGTAATAATTGTATTAGTACAGTATACTTAGTACTTGTACGAAATTTTTGCTAGTACAGTACGTACTAGAATTTTGCTAGTACAGGTGTACTACCACAACCCTGCCCAAAGGGCACATGTTCAGTCACTTGATGGTATAACTAATAATAAAAGTACATATCAAAACTTTAAAATCGTGTTAAAACATATTCTTTATTGATAGTGGGTTTACTTGCGACTGAAGGATATGAATGCATTTTTACTAGTACTAATGATCAAAAAATAATATGCAATAACTCTCCCAATTTTTTAAAAAAGACTAGCTATAATAATTTTTCGAATACCATATCCGCCGATCTGCAGAATGGAAGGAATGCACCATATATATGGTCATCTAATGACGATCAGTACCAGGTTTATAATTTGGGAAATTAAACACGTAAACCATATAAATAAACCCGTGAACCATATAAATAAACACGTGAAGATTATCACTAATAATTGAAAAAAATCTTATTTTCAACAATGGAAATAATATCCGATAGAGAAAATATTACTGACCAAGAAAATATTGACGAATTTCAAATTGAAGAAGTTTCCACTTATCCAATAAACAATAATATTTTGTATCGTGAACGTGTAAATAAAGTCACTAAACGTAGCTTCAACTATGTAATTATAAAAGAAGGTGTTTATCCTAATGGAACTCAAACTGGACCAAAGAGTCTACAAGATTCAGTAATTTGTAGTAGTACCAGCAACAACAAATGAAAAAAAAGACCAGTTCAACAATATAAGATTCCACATGGTTATATTGTAGAAACAACTTGGGGACGTGCATCCAAAAAGAAGACTATTCGTTGTGAAATTGATTATATTAATGAAATACCACAATTTCGTATTAAATATGGCTCCAACTTTCAATATGTTGTTTTTTTGAGCAAATCTCCATCTGATGCAGCATATAAT